GTAGTTTATTAATGTGCCAAGTGATGCAGAATTGAGACAAGACATTCGGGTGTTTTTTGCAGAATTGAAAGCATGTTTTCGGTGCAGTACATTTGTTTATAGATGCCTTATCCTCTAATTAGTAACGCGATGTGGTATAATAGTAAACGCGTGCACATTACACGGTTTTGACAAATTGCCTATGTAAGTGCAGCGCGTTACAGCGGCACACGTGCGTGGGAGTTTACTGCCAACTGCCACTACACACACTAACGTTTATAGAAAATTTTCAGTCCGTGACTTATTACCTTCACGTTTACATTCCAATTTCCGTTTACTGCACTCTGTTGCAAAATTGTTGAGGCTCGAAATTATTCTGTGAATCGGGAATGAGATGACGATAATTATAAATGAACAATGTTTTAATATACAAAGAAGTGTACCTCTGTCTGTACCTACCTAGAACATGCAAATTCTGTTTCGGTGAAATAAAGCAGTGGCTGTGTAATTAGTAGCCGGCTACATGCGGTAATGTTAATTATGAAATGTTAGCTTTATGAAGTACTTGCTAACGAGTACGATGTTTTCATTATTTTGTTTAATATATTGTGAACAGAAAATATCGTAGACGTACGTTGATTTGGCGCGCTGTATGGTGGCACGACGCGCGTCGGCGAATGCGGCGCGGCTCCTCGTGTCCAGGTGTTTATATAAAAAGAAACTCGACCTTAAAACATGGAGTCATTCGCGGTTAGCGTTAACAACGTAAGATTAATTAAACTCTCTTCATAAAGCTCGCTGCAGTACGACGTACAACTCGCTCCGCCCTTGGAGAATACACAATAAAATATATTTTTAGATTCGCCCATTGCCAGCCGCAGAGGTACATCCGCGCCGAAAGAAATACTATGAGAACTTTACGTCCGCGGAAAGTGAATGTACGTGTAACGTGTTGCTTGTAAATATTGATTTGATTAATTTGACGCTTGGCGCTGGGGCGGGCCGCGCTGTACCCGCCTGCACTGCGCCGCGGCGCCGGAGTTTGCGCACCCGACTGCCCGCGCACGCGCAGCATTGATCACTGCGTTGACCGCTTTCAACCGGATTAGGGTTATCCCGCACTATTGTTTGTAGACGTAACAGTATTATTTATTTTGTTATTCTATGAACAATTACATGATTGAAAATCAAAACTGATGCAAGCAAATGTTTCATTGCCTGTCAAATTCCCCATTCGCCGGTACTCTTATATTACCGAGAAAATTCCACGCCAACACAGGACAGCAACATTTAATGTCCGTCACGTTGCCAGCCCATCGCACATGTGTACGTACACGAAACCGCAGTTTCCCTCCAAAAGATGACTACAATTTTTATTTTCCGTTCGTATCAACATAAAAAATCCATTCATATTATTTATTACATTTATTCGCGTTCCGTTTTATAAAACAAATATAAACATAGCAATATAAATATTGTTAGGACGTTGCCATTAAGTTTATTTTTATCCCCAACAAGAGCATTAGGTGCGGAGCGAGCACTTGACGCGTTGCTGAGCACGACTTGCTTGTCAACAGTTAACGTGGTGACGACTTGAAGTAGTCGCCTATAAATATAATATTTGAGAAACGATGAACCTGGGGCGACTTTAGGTCATATAGCGCCTTCGTGCAAGTAATACAATGGACCTCCTGTTATGTATCACATACAACCAATGTGCAATAGAAACAGTACTAATTACACTTTTGGCTTATCGGTTGAACCACAAACTGACAGACGGTTCTTTAATAACTGACCCGAGAGGACAAATGTACTAATTATAAACATTAGTTTGACACGTAACTGAAACTCGAGTAACTGTTACGTTGAACTTTACCTTCAGCAGCGTTCAATGTCGAAGCTTTGAACGTTGGCGGCCGTACATTTGTTTGTGAAATCGTTTGTATGAAACTCCTACCAGCATTCATCACAAAACTACGTATTTGTGTATAAAAACAGTTGAAATAACTACACTGAACATCTCTGTTCTTGTTTACACCTGACCTTTGACCCTTTCGCTCGAAGTTCATGTTCATGCTCACAACTTTTACTCTGACATTGAACCTTGAGAACTGAACGTAAAGACTATAAAATATTCTAATACACATACATATGAATATGACACCAGTTGCCTTACGATAGACACTTTTCCACAAAACAGTGAAATGACTTAAAAAGGTCTCTTTCTTTCTTCTTCTTTATTGGTACCAATTATATTCCATTTGTTCCAAGTACCCACTGTTATGTAATACTCGAACAGGTGCTTTTCATTCCATACCAATTCGCTAGTACTGTACTCAACCATAATTTATAAAGTACTAGCTCCTGCCCGCGACTTCGTAAACGCAATCCCGTTTTCCCCCGTTCCCGTAGGATTTTCAAGACTTTTTCTTTCTTAAGAACCTCCTCCTAATAATAATAATAAATACAAAAAATTAGTTTGTAAAATCGGTCCAGCCATTCACGCCTGATGCCGTGCCCAAGGGAAAAAGGAATTTTTCATTTTATATAGAGGTAGATACTTATATTAAGATTATGTTATGTTAACTTTATTCAATAAAACTTTCCCAAAGTACGTTTCTACCTAAAGTTTTCCCTATTATGGAAGAAGAAATTCATATATAAATAAAACTGGGTAATTGTGTAGCCCTACACATTCAGTACTCCGTGACTACGACTAAGCCACTCCATCTCGTGGGCGCAACCAAAAGATTATATTAAGCGTATTCGCTTCAGAAACTATTTGTAGACATAAATCATAGTTTGAAAACCTTGAATTGCCACTAGCACTATATTGTTGACTTCAGTAAATTCTGGATTAGGTACATAAGTACAATATTCGGACCTAACGTGACCAGCGGAATTAAGTGAAACTAGTAGAAAAGTCATCCGTTTAACACGATGCAGATGGTATAATATATGAAGGAACAATATTATGTACTAGGAAGTAATTAGTCTATTAACATCTCTGTAAATAACCTATGTTCCTATACACGACAGTTTACTTATTAAACTGTCAAACACCAAGCGGTCACCGGTGACCGCAACCTATTGTTGTATAATTGTGTCTATAATGACGGTACTCGACGAGTTAATTAGGTAGTTTTCCTTTAACTAAATTTAAACTTAGCTTCTATATTCAGGAATTAATAGAGGACTTGCAGCATTCATTATAAAGTGGGCAATTTTACAATGGACATCCTATCCATAGTTGATGTGCATTCGGCTAGACATCCAGCTATGTAGAGCCAGTATACACTGACCGTTGAGTGTGCGGGAAGGTTATACAAAGCGAGTCCTTGATAAAATGGATTCGTAAAATGGATTCGTATAGGTTGGTGTGTTCCCGTGTGTGCTGACGAGTAGACAGCTTTCAAATCACTTTGACATGTTGACATATGTGCTTACTTATTCATTGGATACAAATACCACTCACTACAAAATGCACTTCGATATAATGTCAGGCCGTTTATATCGTACCGACTTCAATGAATGACTGACTGACAGGCAAACCTCTATTTACTGACTTTTAAATTGTCAGTTGTAGTTTGGTAGAAATTACAACAACTGAAGTAAATGTTCCTTAAGTAGGTAGTCATTAACTGATGCAAAAATTTTAGAGATGTTGATGTAAAATTATATGAATAGATTTAATATTATTGTCTGCGATGTAAATAGTCGTGTCTGTGACCCACATTTAAAGTTCAAGAATAATCCAACAGATGGTACTAGGGCATTTTACGATAATGTATAAAGACGACGTATAAAGACCTATTTGTGCACAAGCAAAGTTTACACGTTAACTAACAGGAATAAATCAAGCAGGAACAGTTGAGAAGTCACTGGAAAGTACTTAGATCATTGTGACCTAGCCGGAATTAATTTTTCTCTCCATTTAAAACCATTTAGCTCACACTGGTGACGAATTATTGTGTTTTCCTTATATCAATTTATAATCATTTATTTATTTATTTCAATTAAATAGTCATTACAGTCATAAAACCAAGGCGTTATACATTTCAAATAATTATAAAAGAAAAAAAAAACAAAACAGAACAGTCCTTAAATAATAATAATGAATGTATTTTTTAACCAGTTTTACAAATTATCTTTTTATTCTGTGCTTCGGTAGCACATCTGTTAAATAAATTTAGAAACATTTAAACACATACTGAAAGTCAGACATTATTACCATAATTACCCTATACTTTAGCATACCTATTATTTAATTGACCTTAACAACTTTTGATCGCGACCCTGATACTAAAACAAATTTACTCGATCTAATGGAGTCTGAACGTGACACGCAGACGACCGCGACAGCTACAAGCGAATGCACTAAGCTGGATCTCCGACTCACTCAAAATCTATTCAGATTTTAGGTTTCAAAATCTAATATGCGCCGTGACATTCGTACCTAATGTAGGTAATGTCGAGTTTCACTTAAGAATATTATGTATTCAGACCAATAATTGTATGGTAGACGACTAGACGTTCATCTTTCGCTCGTTCACATGTGGTCTGTCAAATAGTCAAAGCGACACTGGAAGCAACCGGCCCGGTTTAACACGTGGTCGGAGCAAATAAAAAGTTCAAGGGTGTTATAATTTTAGAGTGGACGCTCCTGCCGTTGCGTAAGAGTGTAGTTTGAACACACTGTGGGAATTTTAAGGGTTTTGACAGGTTGAGCGAATTGTTTATATTACTATCAACGGTTTCTTTATACTATCAATTTTACTGTTAGTTAATGCTCAGCCCACTGAAGAGCTTCCGTGTAATTTATGTTCGGTTCGTTTGATTCGGAAACTCTTGAGGAAAAATGTCTGTAAAATGGATCCCTTTAGTAACTCATTCATAATGTTACAAATACATACTTATCTCACGAACTTGATATTTATATCAAAATACGCATAAATAATTTTCCTCATTCACAAACTTTCGAGGTCAATGTCGGTGTATAAAACATGCTTTTTTTTGTACAGGTAAGCGGCCTGAAGTTTGAGACGCAATTACGTACACTGAACCAATTCCCGGAAACCCTGCTGGGGGACCCCACTCGGAGAATACGCTATTTCGATCCTTTGAGGTAAGTACTAGCTTGCCACTTCAAATTTTCAAATTATTCTAACTGTGTTACAATTCTGAACTTCCCACAACTTCTCAATAGGAACGAATACTTTTTTGACCGCAACCGCCCCTCGTTCGACGCAATCCTGTACTACTACCAAAGCGGCGGCCGCCTGCGGCGCCCCGTCAACGTTCCCCTAGATGTCTTCTCCGAGGAAATTAAGTTCTACGAACTCGGAGAACAAGCCACAAACAAATTCCGGTGAGTAGACACTCGCATTGCAAACACACCATATCTACAAGCTATACTTGCACATTATAACTTGATCAAATCCTTCCAGTGAGGATGAGGGCTTCATCAAGGAGGAGGAGAAACCCCTTCCCTCCAACGAGCGCCAGCGCAAAATTTGGCTGCTCTTCGAATACCCCGAGAGCTCTCAGGCCGCACGCGTTGTGGCTATCATCTCCGTATTTGTCATTCTTCTTTCCATCGTGATTTTCTGCCTGGAGACCCTCCCAGAATTCAAACACTACAAGGTCTTCAACACCACCACCAACGGCACTAAGATCGAAGAAGATGAAGTCCCTGACATCACTGACCCATTCTTCTTGATAGAGACCCTCTGTATCATATGGTTTACGTTCGAGTTGATAGTACGGTTTCTGGCGTGTCCCAACAAGTTTAACTTCTTTAGAGATGTCATGAACATCATAGACATCATCGCCATTATTCCGTACTTCATCACCTTAGCGACAGTCGTAGCAGAGGAAGAGGATACTCTAAACCTACCGCGCGCCCCCGTGTCTCCGCAAGACAAGTCGACTAACCAAGCGATGAGTCTGGCAATACTGCGGGTGATACGTCTGGTGCGAGTGTTCCGTATCTTCAAACTCTCTCGACACTCCAAAGGATTACAGATTCTGGGTCGTACGTTAAAAGCATCGATGAGGGAACTTGGCTTATTGATATTCTTCTTGTTCATCGGTAAGTCTAACGTTGTTTTTAATAGAGATATGCGCCTCACCAATGTTCTAAAATATATTTGCCTACTCTTGTTCACTAATCCCAAGTTATTCAAATCTTTATATGTATCAGTGCAGACATTATTACTGTAGCTGATTTAATAAACATCTACACTTGAAGTATATAAATAATACTTGAAAATATGAAAGCAAACCGTGTCATCGAGGTGTTTTGTGATACGGAAAGAAGATCGCGGGATGTGTATTGTGATGCAGCAGGCCGGGCCCGGCCGGGCGGTGATAGTGGTGAGCGCGGTGCCGGTTACTTCAATTCCATTTTCCATTTACTCAGTAAAATCTATCCAATATTCAATCCTGTCGCAATCTATGATCCTAATTTAAAATCATTATCCTCAACCTTAGCGCGGTCGCGTCCTGACGGTGCGTTCACATTCTATTTTGCGTTCGCAGGTGTCGTGGTCTTTTCCAGTGCCGTATTTTTTGCTGACAAAGACTGCAATGACACTAATTTCGATAGCATTCCTGATGCCTTCTGGTGGGCAGTAATTACGATGACCACAGTCGGCTATGGAGATATGAGGTAACCTGTGTCGCGCCGCCCCCCGCCCTGCCTTCCCCGACCCCGCCGCTCGCAAGCCATCCTACCACTGTATGTCGCACTGTATTCTCCGTTGGTGTGTGCTTGTTCTTCAAGGTGTGGTGCTGTTTTCATCCGCGGTGTACTTCGCTGAGGCGGGAAGTGAGAACAGCTTCTTCAAATCCATACCTGATGCGTTTTGGTGGGCGGTCGTGACAATGACAACTGTGGGATACGGCGACATGACGTATGATACTGCGACTTCACCCTAAGTTTCATCTTTGCCTTCTCGTCATTTCATTTTACTCCCAACCCTTACATTGGTATATTTAACACTATTGTGATATTCTTTCGCCACATCATGTAATTACGCTTCAGTTTGATTTGATCGTCTGTTCGCTTAGAACTTAACCTATACACGTTTTATTCACATATTCAGTCTCTTGCACGGTCGAGAAAGTTTCTTATTGTCTTGTTACTTTTATTTTCTGAAATGATATTTGTGTCTTCGATACTGTCCTTAACCCATACAATTTTACATGGAAGCACAGTTGTAAAATTTTTCATTGACAAGACATGTTCAAATTAGGGTGCTAGTACCGGCCCCGTCGTCCGTGTGACTATCGCCCCTCCCAAAGCGTATTCTATTAAAATGAGAGAGAACAGCTTTAGTTGTACATTTCAAACGCGGTGTCGCTCGCTCCTAGCACTTGAAGTGACCGGTTGTGAAACAATTCTTATCCACTGTCGAATGTTTACTCCTCTGTATGGCTTTCGCTAGATGTGTACCGTCGGATGTATCCTGTTTCGGTGTTGTGGCTATTACGAATGTTACTAAAGTAAACATATCGAAAATGGTGATCGACACATCATCTCGTCGTGAATTCTTCTTCATAGCCTGCAGTAGAACTCTAAATAGAAATTGCTTCTGCACCCCGTGGTTCGACTATCATCGCAACTATCTCTCTCTGTCTAGTTGTTGGAATGCCCTGCAAACGTGTCTTTGATGGTAAATTTTACACAATAATGCTACTATGTCTAAAATGATTCATTGCTTTTTATATCACTGGCTTCCAATCATTAGCTATCACACACCATTTTCGATGATAGAGAAGTATTTAATTATTTATGTGTAGCAGTAAGCGTTCGACTGCATGTCTGTCACGTCGTCCTGTGGGTTTGAACAATGTCCGTAGTTTATGTTCTAGTCTAATCTTTATGCCCGTTTAGGTTATCTTCTTTTTATTTGGTTGATTTTATTTTCTGATTATTGACGTCCTTTGCAAAACATAATCGTGGCGTTAAAATGTATTTTGGTATACATTTAGATTTTGGCAACTGCGTTGCCAATCAAATGTTCTACTGTAAATACATTCTCGAAACACACAATTATTTTTTTCATATGGACACACCAGCTAGCGTTACACAAACTGCATTGCAATGACTGGTGTTACAGCTCGCTGTGACACGCTAGCGAGTATGTATGTGGAGGAATGGTATTGTACTGCTTGCGCCTTTATTTCCGCGAAGCGATTGGTCTTACACATTTCCAAATTTTTACTCATTTTTTGTTATTCAGTCTCAGTTTTTCTATTCAGTTTTGTTTGGTAGTTGAGTCATTTCGTTAATTCTTATATTATTATTTTATTATTGTTCAATGACGGTATGTATTGTACATTTTAACGCATGAACATCATCAATCGCGTTTATGTTTATTAACATTATGATTCATTCGATTTTTACTTGTTTAGCTGGAAGAGAAGCTTGCGTTCTGTATTTTAATAAAATACGTTTATGCTATAGGCCTGTTGGCGTCTGGGGAAAAATCGTTGGATCCCTGTGCGCCATTGCTGGTGTGCTCACCATCGCATTGCCTGTTCCTGTCATCGTGTCCAACTTCAATTACTTCTACCATCGTGAGACCGACCAGGAGGAAATGCAATCGCAGAACTTCAACCACGTCACCAGCTGCCCGTACCTGCCTGGCACTATGGGCGAGCCTTACCTCAGTAAGTACTTCATGTTTCTGCCTGTTCCGTATAATATTGTAACTGTTTCCAACATTCTTTTGTGCCGCGCAACCATCGAGCAACACACTGCGAATGTTGTCGACAGAACTGTAATAATGTGTTAACTTATCACAAGGTTTCATACATGTACGAGTTGTTCAATTGTGAAAGTCCCTTTTATTACAAATGTACTTTTGTTCACAGCATGTGTAGATTTCAAATTTCATTTTGACTGCATGTCTTGGGTTTTATTATTTCTCACTTTTAATTTTTATTTTTCGTTTCTTTTATGTTAATTTTCGGTAATTTCAGGTGGGAAGGAAGACGACGAGGTTTGCAGTGATCAATGACTGTTCAACAGTGTTGTTATTTATATTTATATTATGAGGACTTAAGTATTCGCCAGAGACGATATCCGTGATATTACCGCGTAAGACACAAACGAGTGCAGTTTTTGATTTTTTTGTGTAAATATTTTAGTTAGTAAGCGATGTAAAATAATCAAATAAAAAATGTTATTTATTTTCTTTAGTTAAATTTGAGTTTGTTATTGGTTGATGTTATGTTTTATGTTGTATATTTTTGTTTTTATATGGAGTGCTTAAGTTTTAGTTAGGTAAATTATAAAGTGCATTCCGCATTTAATAACTCTGTTTCAATTACGGTCGCTTACGGAAGCGTTCACTCATGGAAGTATTTCACTAGTACCGTGTACCGACTGTGCAGTGTATCGCCGATTGGTAGGACATAATATCACACGCGCTCGTGAACACACAAACAAAACCCGAGCGCAAGTTGTCGACACACAGAACGAGTATATTTTTCTCGTTGTCGTAATTATACCATGTTGCAGCGAGAGATTGGATATTTATATTATTTTAGGGAATTATTTTGGGAAAGTCTCGTCTACACGTAGCGTGTATGTACAACAAATAGTTATTTACGCAAAAACTCGACGTTCCGCGCCAAATCTTGGACTGAGTCACGCACAATCAGCTTATTGTGTTAACTGGGAACAAAGGACGTAGGGATGAGACAGATATTTGTGTCAAATGGGGATCTGGCTGACCTCATTGTGGGTAGAATCCCCTATAGTTATGTATAATTATGGGTAGAGTTCCGGTATGGTAATAAATACATACGTGTACCTACCAAAATGATTGGTTGACTTATTTCCAATACAATACAAAACATCGCATTTACATGTAAGTACTTATTTATGATTTCTCTTTTTTTTCTTTTCATTTTTATTTTGTGCTCGTGCTTTAGTGACGTCATCGTTTTTGGATCCGTTAAAATATTGGGTATAGTATCATGACTGCATTAGAAAACATTACTGACGGTTGTATGAGTATTGAAGTAATTAGTATCAGTTTTTATAGTTGCTTGACTCATTTATTAGTCAATCTGTATAGATATATTTTTTCAGAATTAACAACTGACTTCTTCATGTCCTCTCTCGTCTAATCTACATTAATTACTAATTTAATTAGATAACCATTCCCATTATCAGTTTCGTTTCTCATTCACTTCATGATAATGATTAATACTGGAAAAGGATGGACTCGACTCGGCTAAAACTCATCGAAATCTTTGTGTATGCAATATTAAACCGCTCAAATTGAATAATATATTTGATGTTTATTTAACTACGGGACGCAAATAGTCATTTAACAGTTTCGACGGTTTATGAATAAGAAATAAGATTAACTTGGGACATAGGACATATCATAAATTTCGCGCATACGTATCAATTATGTTGTAAATCAACGACGGACAGAGCCACGTCTAATGGCAGCTCGCCAGACTACTCGGTGAACTTAATTTTGTTTATATTTGTAGTATTTCGTACTCCTACCGTACTCCCTTATAAACATCCATTAATATTTAGTGCTTTATATAATTCTGTTTGATTATAAAGCTAGTTCGTGTGTGTCAAATACTTTTAACAGATTTTCCAATTCCAAAAAAATTTAGTATCTTTAAAATCTAACAATTAATAAATCTAACAATACTTTACCTAACTCCAGAATCAAACATGAGACCCTTAGCTCAGCAGACGCGTTAATAGACGATGTTTGGTTCTATAAAGTTTACTAAAACTTGACCCTAAGCGTAAAGCTTGTTTTTAAGTCGAGCTGTCGACACGCGCACCGTAAACGCTGATGGAATGAGATATGTGAACTTCTAAGAAGCGTTTTTGAATGACGCTGTGCTATTAGCGGGGATGGTGGTCACCGCTGACCACCAAGTTCATACCTCTCGGTTGTCAGCAGGGACGGTCAGCACGTGGTCACCACGACACTATAACCAGCCTCAGTTTTAACAGAAATGAATAACAAATACTTCGAAAGAATTTAATTAAATTTCAAATACATAATTATTTGTAAAGCTTCAAACTAACCGTAATCGGTGTGTCGTCGCACGACCAGTTTGAACAATATGTATGGAGAGCCACCTGGTGTTTCCAACCCCAGTGTTTGTCCGTACAAACACTTCGTCATCCGTATAACCTCGATATCATGGCATCCGAACGAAATAGGGTCCTTACCTGAACAAACATCACCGGTCTTGATTCAATCTAAACTACACAGTACAGTATGTACAAATGCTAGTTTTCAAACTCCAAACTGTCAATATTATTTATTATATTTTCAACCTTCCTACAAAATATCAAGGTTGGAAATGTATTACAGCGTCATATGGGAACTAAGCCAGTCCAGAATTCAACATTGGCGGTACAGTTTCAGGTCCAATTCACAAAAAGTCTTCGATAAGCGGTGAATCATCATCGGACGTGATGGACATGGAAGAAGGTGCCATGGTGGCTGATTCTCACTTGGAGCAGAACCTCAGGCGCCTCAAGGATGAGGAGAAGGTCCTGCTGGAGCAGCAGGCGACGTTTGAAACCGGTGGCAATGACGACATCGGCGCCCTGGAGCACCAAGATGCCATCCGGCTGAATCACGTACGTTGGTTATTTTAGGGTGCCCCCGTGTTATAACAGTCTTATTTAAAAGAAATTCGAAGATATCAATGCTAGCATTACGAAGAGTTGGTTTTGGATCGAAATTATATAATACCTATTATTTATTATTTGTACTGAAGGTAGAAGTTAATACCTTTTATTTATGATGAATTTTCTCCTAATCCAAATTAATTATTTAGCTGATACTTTCATGTTAGCTGAAGGCAAAATATAAGAAATACAATACATTAAAGTAATGACAAGGTTTTAACAGAGTCCCTTATTACACATTAACCTAATAACTCGAAGAAAGTACCTACACTAATTAATAACGACATTGTCAATAAGACTATATGTATTGTTACTGGGTGGATATTGTATTACGAAATTACTGAGAAAATAAAAGGCAACGTGACTGTGCCCTTGTCCCTGAAACTCAGAGACCGACGTCATTCACGTTGCGAAGTTAACAAGGACGAGGTTGTAGTGTTAACAACGAAGTAGGTATTTCACGTATTGTACATTAACAATAAGGACCGGCCTCAGTTTGTATGGTTTTACTTTTTACTTCATTGGGCTAATTCCATGACCTAGTACTTGAGAAAGGGTTACAAGTTCAGCAAGAGTTTTCATTGTTTTTACGGTTTCTTTAGTTATACCTGCCCAACTCATTGTTTGTTCAAAACATTCGTATTGTGAAAAAACTTGTTAACTTTCAATTAACTAGGTCACGGGCAATCCGTAACACAAAGGTGGATATTTTCCGTGTTTTTCTAAACTTGCGTAACCAACTTTGAAATTTAATTTCCTTGAGTAGGTCCACTCAACATGATGAGAAACAAGCAGCATATGACAATGATGGTGATTACAGTCTAAAATGCTCTGATTAACATTCGTTAATGTTTCACTATGAAATGGTATTGAGTAGTGTATTTATGGATACGTGTGAACTGCCCACAGCTGCGGCAAGCTAAGCTGGAGAAGCAGCAGGCGAGGAAGCAGCGCGCGCAGCAGGCGCAGGGACAGTCGCAGTCCCAGGCGCAGGCGCACAGCCACGGCCACTCGGGGCCCGGGCCGCGCCGCGAGCACACCGCGCGCCGCCGCGCCTGCACCGTGCGCGTCAACAACCTCCACGGCGCTGAAGCTATAGAGACTGACGTCTGACTATCGGGTCAGTACTATCCCCTAACATTCAGCCAGGTCATCATCTCCTCACCAGCACACATTAACGCTTTACTGGGCTACCCTCATTCGGCTCTGGTCATAACAACAATAAGACCATCACTAGAAGTGCTTTTCTTTATTTATTTCTGATTTTCTTATATTATGTCGTTCAAGTCAAGCACTTGCCGTATGAGGGTAGGAAAAGCAATTTTACGCTATTGCTTGGTAAGGAGTTAATCATACCTTATACCACTTACCTTCAGTCCATTCGCTCCTCAAACTTCAGTTAGCTACATCGCTAATTGCCAATAGACAGATTTCGAGCTCACTTATTAGATATTTAGAAAGAAATTTATCTTTTCTCATATAAAAGTACACAACAACAGAGAGACTTTAGTAGATATAGAGCGTTTTTATTATTATTCAATATTTAATTAAGTCATTATTATTATCATATAGTAAATCATTGCAGATTAATATATTATACAAGTATTATATACTATATTTAGCCTGAAATTAATTATTTAGCGTGTTAGCCACAAGTTTAGTTGACTTGTACATACATGTACGTGAAAGTACTGAGAGCGTACAGTAGGAGAGCCGCTGGTACAGCTTAGAATCAGCCATAGAGCACAGAATGTCGGCACACAGTAGCACGTCGCCCCATACATCATTCCGCACTCGTTGCGACCTGCGTCCTACATCGCGTTCTGCAACACAGTACGCTGCGTAACAACGTGTCACAAAATGTTCGCGCTTTGTTCAAAGTTTTTTACATTTTTGCATCATGCTGGCAAATCAAGCGCGACGCTTTTCAATTTTGAATTTTTTTATAATGTAAATATTTGAATTAACTTTTTAACTAAGGTGAGTAAAGAAACGTTGATTATTCTAATATTTGTAAGATTTAATTTGTGTCGATTGAAGATTTTATTTTGTGTTAGGTCAGCAAAAGAACGAGTTGAAAAGCAATAATTTATGTTGAAACTTTTTGAAAAATTGCCGTGAGTTCATGGTTCTTTGAAATAAACTTTAATTTACGGGACAATTGCGGAAACTGCTGATAATTTTCGAAGAGGGAACGTTATTGTGTGCCTTGTTTGAAACTAGTTTACTGCAACTTGCAACTTGCAACTGTAACTTACAAGGTTTTAAGTTTATAGTTGTTTCGCTGTCGGAAAAGAGATAACGTGGTTCAACAATATAACTTTATATCGGGGAAATAAGTTACATCGTAAAAAATTGTAGCGAATGAATATATTTCCCTTTGTAGAATGAGTATTTGAGTAATCAATAAAACGATTGAATAATTTAATTATTCACTTCCCTGCTGAGTTTTTAACGTAAATGATAACACAAATAAGAATAATAATACACTTTGAAGAATTAGTTTAGTTCAGTTTTGCGTTGTAAGTTTTTTAGAAATAACTAGTGCGTTTACGGTATCTCAATTTCGTTATGTTCGAATTTTACAATGGGTGATTTGACAAACTTAATGCTATGAGCGTTTAATATATTGGCTTTTATAGTATAAGGGATAATTAACTGGAACATGTGGGATTATAAAGTTACATCTTTAAGGGTAACTGCTGTAAATTCATCAAAACTGATAGATATATCAACAAGTTAGAGCGAGGCCCGATTTGTGCGTTGCGTCGTCGCAGCGTCGTTTTCCATATATTTTTTATGACATTCGCCATAACGTACGACGATGGACAGTCATCACGTCTGTATCTATCCATTACTGAGAAAGAACATGGCTGCCGTCCTGCGTTGCGATGTCGTGTGTTGTCGTAACCCTGATGTGGCGTACAATGCGTTCAAGGGCCTCATCCTTACTTAATAAAAGGCAAGAAACAGATAAAATATTGACATAAATAGTAACAATAACTGCGTCACTCTGTACACGTGTTCATCAATAATCGAAGGAGGGAAATGAGAGAGTTCCTCTTATATTACCTCACGGTAAATGCTTAGGGAGTGAGGATATGACGCATGTCCTCACTTGGAGAAGGTATTTCGTCTCAACTCGCTCAATATTCCCTTCCCTGTTATACATGGTGTCCCGTTAACAGACGTCCAAAGATTTTTTCGGCAAGAACATCATGAGTGATTATTTCTACAAGAATCAATTCAGCATAAAATTATGATTATATTTTTAAACTAATCCAATATTTCAATATTTATAGGCTAACCTAGCATACGTAATAAAATTGATTTGTGTAGTATAAAATATCGAATTTGTTTAAAATAAAATATAATTTCTAAACAAAGAGCTTTCGCTGAAAAAAAGTATTGTTTTAACGATCACTCAGGATACTCTATAGCTGAGAAAAACTTTGGACCACAGTAAATGGCTGCCCTATATATTTTATCAGTATTTTATCACCAATAAAAGTGAGAATAAAATGTCAAGTATACGGTACCTATGTTATGTTATGTTATGTTAAAGATCGTCGATAGTGAGAAATGGCCTAATTCCTGCTTATTTCAAAATGGTTTATAACATTTCAGATTTTACCTAATATCTGTCTAATCAGATCATATCAATCGGGTGATGCAAAATTTATGACTTAATTTACAAAAGTATAGATCCGACCTATAGTCAATCTGAGCTGAGCTTTAAAATAACAATTTCAATTTTGTTTAGATCGTGGGCACTGTTAGATTTCTGTGTTTTCAAACAAGTTCAGTATAGGAGTTCAGATTTGTAGGCTGCATATAACATGTCTATAGAAAAGTGGATGTTACATCGAATAGACTAGAAACTGATAGTGTGATGATGTATAACATAACATACATAAAATAGAATCACGCCTTTTATCCTCGAAGGGGTAGGCAGAGGTGCCCATTAGGCCACAATATAACAACCACTTTTCCCTATTTATGTTATGAGTACCATGTAATAGGGGGTGAGCCTATTGCCATATACTGGGCACAATTCCAGACTCCGTGCTACAACCGAGATTTTTTTTTAAACCCATTAATTCTTTTCCTGACCCGGGAATCGAACCCGAGACCACTTGCCCGGCAGTTGCACTTGCGACCACTCGGCCAATGAGGCACTCAGTGACGATATGTAGGTACCTCTCCTCAAACAAAGACAACCAAAATAATTTTATAGTTTTGATAAATTGACGTAGCAATTATATTATGAAAATAGTAATGTAGGTAATTGTTTTGAAAAACCGATACTTGATCTCATTTCAGCTTAATTACAAATGATCTTAGTTATATTACAAAGCCTCGAGCAGTCTAACTATTCAGACTAAAACATTAATATTGTGTTGTTATTATTATTCTCTGAATTATAATTATTATTCCAAACTATTCAGACTAAAACATCAATATGATGCTGTTGTTATTATTCTCTGAATTATAATTATTATTCTAACTAACCGTAGTTCAGGAATATTGTTGTAACGTTTTCGAGGTTACTGAGTTTCTTCACAGTTCGAATTTACCTGCATTATGACGCCCCAACAACCTGCATTGGGTCACAACTGAACATTGACAAAACAACCTCGTTTAGTTGTCAAGACAGAAACTTTTACATTTTTTATTTACAAGCTAATTACTCAATATATCCCATCTTAGTCATTTTTTTTTAATTAGTCTATAATACGTAAGGGCGTCAGTTAATTTACTAATTACGTTTGATATAGTAACAGCCAAGTGACTGTATAACTATAAACATGAAGTATTCCCTCGGTATTGAGTTAGTAATCGCCGATATTATTAACATGGTTGTGTGCGGCGGGTGGGGTGGGGGTGGGGTCGGCGGGGGTCGTACTATTCGTTACACGTTTTATGAACGATGGCGATGTGTTGAGTGAATGGCACCATTGAGTGCACACGTCGCAGAAGTGCAGTGTCCTTGCGACGACGGGTCGACTTGAATGGATGCGGGAATCTGGATCGATAGCCGCTGCGGCATCGGCGCGCCCGTGACGTCACGCCGCCACGTGCTCGCCGCACCGACCCCGTAGTTATCAGCCGCCGACAACAACCTGCACCCTATTAGTAAATAATGTGCTGCGCCATTTTATACCGTCGCCAGACGTCTTACAGACGTTGTGGCTGTGACGCGGCTATCGGTGCACTACTGACCCCGTTTTGTAGGTTTTCCATCTTGTTTTTTGTTTAAGAGATTAATGCTTAGACATGTTTACTCGTTTTTATCGTAATATATTTTTAGAGATGTGTTTATGGGAAATAAAACATATTCAAACAAATATTCTATTAAATTCTAATTCTATTTTTTGGCTACTCGCTATGAGCTATCTATATAAGACATGAGGTGAAAGTGAAGACTTGATTACATTATTACGCCAAGCATATCAAACCTTACAAAATGGAACTCACTTTATGGTCTAGACAATATTATGAAGATTACCTTTTAAAATGAAAATAGTCATACTCAAGTACGGGTAAGGGATTTAGGAAAGCTATAGGACAATACTTTTCTTCCCAATATTCCTGCAGGATTATAAGTTCCAAAATGTAGGTCAACACGGTCATGCTGATAAGATTAAACTATACAAGGTAGTTAATCATCAAAAAATCGTTAAATAGGCGGTGTAGCATCTCTTTGGGTGAATAATACTATTTAAAGGTTTTAAAGGAACAGGGAAAGAAAACAATTAGCCAAGGCGGGTCACTACACCCTTTGAAAATAGTCAAATAGCTGGCAGCTGGCCTACGCCGTAGCCCTCGTAGCGATCGTAGCGGTGCTACGCGTGTGCGTAGGTAGTAGGAATTCGAATAAAAATATAATAATAATTATGTATGTATATCGTTAATCGTATAATGATAAATAAAGAAGTCTCTCTGTGACCTAGGGCGGCATAGATATTGTCACTTCTCCATCCCCGCGGTGTTTCCCTCTCGTGTTTAGTTTGTATTGTCCTGTAAACTTACCCCACGTCGTAACTGTGTCTCCAAATCCCGATGATGGCCTGGCTATTTTAAATATGTGTATTGTGAACTTGCTCTATATTTTTTTTAAATAGAACCCCAAAATCATTCCAGACGTGGCGGGCCGGCGCGACGACGCCGCAGCGGCGGTGTGGCGCGGCCGAATGCCAGCGCGCTCCCCGCCGCCCTGCCACGTGTGAACAGCGTATGAGTTCGCCGCTCCTAACCCAAACTGCTGTTTTCGTCGAAACAAACAACCTCAACAAAATTAAACAATAATGAATTGTGAACAATAAAATTCCCACATCTTTCAGCATTTACAAAACCTGGTTAAATTACTCAGGAATACTAAAATTAGGAAGAACTAATTTTCAAAAAAATATCATAAAAATACAATAAAAAATATTTTAAATATGCTTGACGATTGAGTCCGAAGCGCCGCGGATTTTGTAAATATACAAGACGCTTAAAGAGGCTTCTACGTTCACTTCTTACATTATCAACACTGTGGAATAGATTAAAATATTAGGTTCTTTGTGACAAATAAAATAATCAGCATAGGCCTATAGTTGCGTTCGCAGAAGATATTCTCAAGTGTTGCGTTTCGCTTGACCATAGTTTGTAAATAGTTGTTTCGAGAGGAGAGCGCACGGCGCGGCAACCGGCCTCTGGACCGGCTCCCCGGGCACGCTACGGCCGGGCATGCAGGGAGCATGCTCGCCATCACGGCAGACGCGCTCGGAGGGTGCGAGGCCGGCCCGCTGGGTGACCGGCCACGCCGCGCCGTCCACCGCTGCGGTGACCGCGCGAAGCTTTCAGACAATCGAAACAGCTCAATCAGTGATCATAAAAACTACAGCAATGGGACTCACAAATCATCTTCAGATCAAATATATTAGAATAAGTTACCGTATATGGAAATTTATGTTGTGTTATTGTTGTGCGTACACATATTCCAGTAAACGTCATGTGTAATTGTACAAGTACCCGGACGTAAATGTAACCCTCTCCCCGGTCCTCGCGACCAGTCCACGTCGTGCAACAGTCTCGGCTATTATAATTATTTAATGTTATAGGCGTATTTTGTCTATCGTGTCTATTCTTATGTTATTGATAATTTATTACCTTTAAATTATTTGTATAGGGGTGGTCGTGCGGGTGCACAGGTCCTGTGCGCCGATAGTGCTACGTCTCGTATGCAAGGACAGTTATATTTCGGTCGTTTACAAAGTCAAGATGAATGTGTTAGCGTAGACAGTTTAAACATATCTAGAAAGAAGTGAATTTATTAATATACGTTCGTAAGTAAGGCATGCGACAGACTCAATTCGATCGATACAGCAGTGCTCAGAACAACGGACCTCCTCTACGCGTTTAATTTTACTTTAAATGGTGTTTTCACAACACCTTGTACTCAGTACGGCTCCTCTCGGCGACAACTCCTCGCTCTGCCACCCTCAATACTTCTTAATATCGATTGCAATCGAAATAAATTTCTCAAACGTCAGCACTAATCTGTTAACTTCAAACAAGCTCCGCTTCAAGAGCATTTACTGTAAATAATCTAAAACTATTGTTTCCATCTGTACAAGTGAAGGAGTGCCGGAAAGTATTTCAGATTATTTTTCATATTTCCCGTCTGTCTGTCCATGGACTTGTTTACTCTTGAGTTGTAAATGAGACAATTGATATTGTTAAGTATAGATTACACCCGAAATAATTATTTCATCATATCAGTCACATTTCATAGCGTTTAAACATCTAGTAAAAATACAAATTTTACGCCCTATATTATAGTCTAGTGTAGTTTAGTAGATATTGATAGTAGGTTAAGTGCTGCCCTTATACTGGGTATGTAATGTCTCTGACCCAACTGTTGCCAGTGTGTTGCAATAAGGCCAATGACAAGATTTCGGTTTGGTCCAGGCTGCCTGCTGGGCACCGAGCGCTCGGTCGTCCACTAGGGTTAAGTCACGCACGTAAAGGACTTTTGCACAAAACTACTTAGCCAGTGAACGAATATGGACGCTCGTTGCGCAGCACGCACAGCCCGCACATGCCGGAGCCTCGAGACCTCAATAAGAGCATGTTCCAAGCTGGTAATCTTAAATTGGCCTCAAACCTGACCATTTCCTCTCAATGAACATTCGATGTGATGTATAATGATATAATAGATTACTCAATATCAGTGTTTCGGTGTTAATTGATGTTTAATTAATAATTAAATTTACTATTTCTGTAATATATTAAAATAGAAAATTGTAATGCGTGTCTCTGACAGTCATGAGGCTCGCTGGTGCAGGATCGCAAACGCGAAGATTGAGACATGAAGAGAATCGTTAAGAATAAGATAATATATTTATAATTAGACAGTTGTTGGATGTGCTATACTGTAATTCTCCTTTTGTATATAATTTACCGCAGAGAACGAGCAAATGATAGACATAGAGAAGCGAATTGTAGACCCTCAGTGACTGTCAGAGCTTTCGCTAAGATGATGACGCAGAGCGCAGGCTCGACCTCGGCCATGACATATGTACACGGACATTCAAACCCGACTCGAACAATCATGTTGTAGTAGGGCAAGCATGTATAACTGAATACATTATAATATTTTGAGTGTCTTCGTTGTAGTGAATATATCAGTAATGTCTGTCAATTAGATACGAATTGTTTGGCAAATTAATTTATTATGATAGTCTTGATTGTGCTGTGTAAGTGTTGTCTGGTACAGGAGCGATCGATTGGAAATGTTGGCAATAATAAAACGAGCAACGTTGCAGAGTGTAGCAGTTGCTGCAGCCGTCACAGCAACATGGCATGTGACGGTGAATGTAACGTTGTTTTATTTGCAGAATGTAACGAACAGTTTACCAGAAAGTATCGCAAGTTGAAAGTTTTCAGTCATTAATGTAGTAGTAGTACATATAACAGATTTACAATATGTGAAGACTATCATCACTTCATTTGTCAATGTATTCGATTTATGTTAAATGTTTAGAATTAGTGGACAATATACATATACTACATGTTGCGACATATACGTAAAACGCCGAGGCTGTTGCGACGAACATATTGAATGTCAATGTCAGTCAATGTTAATGTATCAAGTTTATAGTGTAGAAAGCACGTTATGTTATATTTAATATAGTTTATGTAATCGGATAGCACACGGGTCCTGTTTTTGAACTTAATTGTGAAGGAAGCTGCAACGCGGCAATGTCAAATCAACTCCACCACGAATGTACTAAACACCCAGCTTTGTGCTTGATCACTCGCTCTATAACAAGGACCAACTCGAGCCAATTTGTCACATCTTAAATTATTTATAGTCTGTGAAAAGAGCTCATATGCATTAAGAACTATATGTAATTACGTATTATAACGATGGTCCGGACTATCTCGTTCTTAAAAAAACTATCTTGGGTCACTCAAATCTTGACCCTAGAAGATGTTAAATAAAATTTGAAACGGAAAGTTAATAATTGAAATCTACAGTTGGAAGTTAAATAAAAAATACAAACATATCACACTCCACTTGTAGCTTAATCACCATTTGAACTTTAAGGCCTGTTGGTGCCAAAACAGTAAGATTACTAAACGAGATCTGACTGCAAAATCCATGGTGTTCAAATAATTAAAGAGAGATAAAGAAATAGTTTATTGGACACTTAACGTACTAAATATTGTAAAGCGATAAACTGGGTGTTTGTAAATTTGTTGTGTTGCAGTTACGGTGTGATGTGAAGTTGTGACTAAATCTCATTTACATTATGTGTATCTGTTTAATGTTTAACTAGTAATTTCCTGCATTTACAATCTATCTCAAACTACGAATATGAGATCATTACGAGATATGAAATGGTCTTCAGCTTAGACTCCTTGCGCTTCAAAACGTACATCTGTGTAGATTAGAAATATGGTGTAAATGAGTCTTGGTCGATTGTAATCTATATACTTTAACAGATTTATATTATTGATCATTTGTGAAGCGCTTCTATCAGTCGATAGTCGCGTGTTTTTCAACTAGTCCCCGCAATTTCTATTCTTGTCTGCAGTTTCAATAATGCTGCGTTGTTGCGCACAGATGTCACAAGTGGTATATATGTCACTTTACGAGATGGTGGCGACATTCCAGGCCCGTCTGTTCCTCGCGCTGGCGTGCAGTGTACACTGCACTACGTGACCAGCTCGTGCGAGCGCCGGGGACACAGGCTGCGGCCTCGCTGTCGGCGGGCCTCGAGCTGGATGGTCCGCGTGTGAAGGATCCTGTAAGACCTGTGTGGTCGACTCTCATAAACAAGAAACAGAATAGTGGTAAATTGTGAATTACTCAAGTTGGCCAAAATTGTAGTTACGCCAGTTAAAATAGGCGTATTATAATTTTCGCTCAGTATTATTAGTTGATATTTCGTACGTAGTGTATGTATACAGAGGCGGCTAACACGGGCCCGGTGCAAGCAGAAAGATTAAATTCTCAACCATCACACTTCAAATTATAACATTCTCCAAAATTAAGTAATATTTTGTTGAAGAGACGAAAATACGAAATTATCGTAGATAGTAAAACCACATAGATTTCACAGGAGAAATCACGATTTTCTATTTACTTGAGTACTACTTAAATATCAATCTTGTAGTTAGGAAGGAGTTGGAAAAAATTTAAATTTTTTAAGAAGTCTGAAATGTCCGTAATGACAGACTATATGTAATATGGTCTTTAGGAAACAACTATAATCAGTAATTTTATGAGTAAATTAAATTGAATTTAATTTAGGATTTATAGTTAGGTGATGTCTGCAAACTTTTAGCAGTGTGTGGTATATCTAAATCAGTTTTGTTTCAAGGATGATTGATATGTTTTGCTTGATTATTCGGCCGAGGGACGACTGTGGCCGTGGTGTTTGCATGAATTCCGAAACGTACGATGGGACCTCGCTACATGCTTTGCGGGTTTAATAAAAATGTGCCACTTTTACTTCTTGATAGATGCCTTTACGCGTGTTATTGCGCTTGTTCCAGTACATAGCGATCGCAGTGCTGAACTTAATATTAATGTAACGTGTCATGGCTTGTCACGCTGCTCACACCGTGTTTTATTGTTTTCACTGACACCGAGGGATGACGAGGAGTGTGACAGTCAGTCTGTACCTATACAATATTAACTTGTAGTTATAATTTTCTTTATTCACCGGCCCCCTCTCCGTCCAGGTCAAAGCGTGTTCATATTGGATATAAAATCACAAATTTCGAATTGGATATCGTATTTATACTAGCATCGATTAATATTTTACATTATTTATTTATAGTTTACTAATGATTGGCTATTTTTATCGAAATTGTTGTACAGAGCATTTATTCGTTAAGTGTACGAAGTATACGTTAAAGAGGACATCACCCAAATGGGGTAATTTCAAAATTGTCGGCCAATAAAAACTAGAATTATTACAGAGCTCACCTAATTAATCTGAGTGCACAATAAATTAATCATGTTGCCATTTATACACAAAAAATATTCTTTAAGTCCACAAAAATATCAACCACAGGTAGTACCTTGCGTACACCAAGCAATTCGATGCTAAGAAACGCCCTATTAAGTGAAACGTTTCATATTCAAACTTACATGATTTAACGAGAAATGGCCTCACAATTAACACTTTTATTCCATAGACAGAAAAGTTTTTCGTGGCAAAACAATGCGTCAATTTACCAAAATATCTTTAAGACTGGAACTCAACTACAGTCAATAAATAAAATATCGATATGTCGCTCTCTATACGAAAAAGGTTAAATTATTAGTTGGAGGCTGAGTGATGTCATTTTTCACGTATTGTTCAATAAAAAATGTAATATTGGTCAAATTAATTTGTCGCCTATATCTTAACAATAAAACTGAATAAGCCAGCTACGAGCTTAACTTATTTTTTGTATTTTAATGGTATGTAAAAGTACTTGTATTTTTCATTACGTAATGTAAGTTAAATTGGAGCGAATTCTCTAGATACATAATTACATTATCCTCTTACATTACATTAAGGATATAATATTAAGAGCTTTTTCGACTAGTATACTTACAAAAAAAAATGATGATCTTATGAAATTATCAGAATTTTTCGCGATAACTTATTATATTTAATATCCATCCAGTATTATTAGATAAATAGGTGTAATGGTGAAAATATGCCATTTTCTAGCTCCTATAGTTAATGTAAAATAGGTTCAGTAATTGGGCAACAGATAAATATTCTTAATTAAGTACAAATTTTCCGATTTGAATATTTTTTAATTTGTCACGGTCCCATCGCTCGTGAAACAAGTGTACCTGACTTAGGGCGCCGATGTTGTTTTGGTTACTACATACTGCTACGTACGTCCGATCTAAACAACTTTGCATTGCTCCCTTGTTACATTGGCTTAGAGTTATACCCATCAGAAAAATTTGAATGTGTTTGCTGTACTATTGTGAACTAGTGTGATTATTACCTATGTATTACGAGTTTATCGAAGTTGATAAATATTCATCATTTGGAATCTATTCCCTCGACTAAACTGAACAATTTGCAAGCCTGACATTTATCGACTTTGATAGAATGCAAGAGAGCACGGATCGTCTTGGCTTGAATATTATATATTAAAATTTATGTCCTCTATTGGGATAAGAACTTCAAATATTAAATCAATGGTGCAATGTTAAGTGTATAATAGGGTCGAGAACATCGGTAGAGAGTCTGTTGAAGTTCGCAATTTTAAGGAACTTCTGTTTTGTCAAAAATTATATTATCTGTTCGTCATTTCGTGTTCATGAGTCTGTTTCGGAGTTCATCAAATCGTACGTGCAAATATATTTGGTAAATGTAACGAGCGATTCCATTCATAGTCCTGTACAGTAGGAGTTATTTGTTTAAAAGACATACTTTTATTTTCGTATAAGTAAGTACTTAGAGTTTGTGGATGATAACAAGATCAGCAGACGGTATCGTGGTACTATAAAGTTGGTACTTGTGTAAAAGCAGTGATTGTTAATAACTAAGGATTATTGTGTTCGAAAACATTTCAAACGATTGTGAATGTGTAATGGTGTACAATATCTTGTCTAGAACACGTGATGTATGAGTGAACATTGAAAGCATTCAAGGAAAGCGTCACAAAAAGACAGCTCAAGATTTTAACTTACAAAATGTTTTAAACAAATCTGCAAATAACATAATTATGGGGATTAATGAGATGCTCTATAATCTCTAGTACACACGTGTGGAGTCTGCGATACGTCTGCAAACACGTCACTATGACGTCATCCACAAACTACCCACACTGATTATTATAATATTTTATTTAGTTAATCTAGATCACATTCGCCACAAGGTGTATATATTTCGAGTCACTAAGGCCAGTGATCATTTATAATTTAATTTTAATGTGGTGGTTGTTTACAGCATCTGTCATGCGAAGCGAAGGCTCATTGATATAGTATTTACGAATAAATTGTAACTTAACGCTTAAATCGCCATCTTTTTGTCGATGGCTAAATATACACTTAATTAAAACAGAGCTGTTTCTGAATGATGCGTAAATTATAAAGAATCTTTCTGAAAACTTTGTGAGTGGTCTGGACTGTGGAGTTTATTGGCAGTTTGGGGATTGTCGGGTTGTTATTGCAAAGTTATTAATATCACTAGTTATATATTGGTTGCAAAAAATGAGTGGCATTCTCCTGGGGTCTTGTATGTGTTGTTTTGCAAGAAACTCTTGCAAAAAGAAGTAGAATGAATTAAACCAATTACGTATATGAAGTGTTTGTCAGAATTTGTCAAGAAACAATCTTCAAACCTACAATAAAGCCCGCAAGTCTAGCAACTTGAACACGCAACTATATTGCTAACGATCCCGTTTCGATAAATTCCATGGTACCTACTTATATCTGGAGCTTTTTTCCAATTTTTGTACTTAAGTTGTACTTGGCAGTACTATGCTGTACTGTAAGAATGATTTTTTTTCGTATAAGTTGTGAATCCAAATTGTATAAATGACTAAATAAAAAGAATATTGATGTTTCATTTCTGTCCCTTCGAATGCGACTTTCTTTGTATTTTTGCTCTGCGTCAATGCTGTAGTTTGACCCATAAATTGTATTGTAATATGGGCTTTGAGAGACGGAACTTTACTGTCATAATATAAAGATATCTCTGAGTTAAAATGGGTCAAAATACAGTTATACCCCTACACACCTTGCTATGCGTAGCTAAGTGCCACCTACCCGAGTGTGGTAACTTGAGACCTAGATGCAATGTCATAATATACTACCATCATCCTTATTCATACTAATCAATAATAATTGTAGACGATATGTGAATTGAGGTCCAAACTAAAGTGCACTGCTGATGTCTCAAGTTACCTCGAACGAGTAGCAAATCTAATCACATAAAGGCTAAATCTTATACTAACACACCGTACATACTCACATAATGTTACACCTTATGTTCCCCAAAGGGGATGGCAGAGGTGCACGTCAACAATGTAGCACCCACTCTGGACCAGTTGTGTTTAGTTCCAAATAATAGGGATTGAATATCTTGCCATATGCCAACTGGGCACATTGCTATTACTGAGAAATGTTCGAAAAACCAGAAATCCCCAATAATAAATAACTTTAACCACGCAGAAATCGAAATTACACCTGCAGCAGAATGTTGCAGTTAGAAATAATATGTAGATATTGTATGGTGGTATACTTAGAGAAGTTCTCACCACCACCTCGTTAGACAAGGCCTTGTTTGAGATAGGAAATACCTCCTTCGGCCTTCTGTGAGGATTGAGAGATTGTTAGACTCTTACTGACTAAAAATCACCCCGTTCCAACTCCTGAGAAGAGACGATGACTCCATTGAGACGGGTGCACTTTGTGTCCACACACGCCTCCGAGGCGAAGTACTCCTTACTTACTCTTTGGGTGAAGCACGGAGATCTCCACCTCACTCCCACATGCACCTTAAAGTGGGGCCGACCAGGTGAGTGAGTGTGCTTCGCGCACGCGCACTGGGTACGCCACGTGAGAGAACGCACCGGGCAGCTTTTAATCAGTTGGACAGATCCCTTCGTCTTCCCGAGGCGAGGAATCTCTATTAGATAGGATTCACTGTCTTGGAATTATCTAGCGAGTACTTTCTCTTTTTATTTAATCACCAGTTCTGGTGAACTGGGTGAACTGTATTGGGTGGTCCCATTACCCATATTCTGACAGTTTTGATACGTTCAATTCTGAGGTTTTGTAAGTGAGCCCATTTCAGCCAAGGTCACTCATTAATCTCCAAATACAACAGAAATCTGTAGCAATTTTGTAATACACCTGTATCTACACCCGAACCTGAACACAGTGCGTCTTCGACATTTCAAGTTGTGTTTGACATTTTATAAAAGGGCCCAACAACCCCAAGGTCATTCTCATTTATAAAATAGAAAACATCTCTATTACTCTCTTTCTCTCTATTATGTCTCATATTCTTCGAAGACGTGGAGAAATAAGAGGGAGGCGAGTGTCATGAACACTGCAATTAAATGAAGGTCTATCTGATGTTGGAGCCGAAAGACCGTCAACGGAACTCTTCAACGGCTTACAGCAGTTTCCCTGTTTGGGCTTATTCAATTTGTAATGATGAGACATTTACACCAAGATGATGTATGATGGATTAGGATGTCTCATTAGGATGTCTCGAGTTCGATTTCCAGGATGGGCAAAGTATTAAGTATTTTTTCAATATTGCATTTCTCAGTAATAGGAATGACTTTGAAACTGAGACAGGTCCATAGCAATAGGCTCACCCGCTGTCCCACGAGACCCTTGTAACCACCTTGTGACTTAGTGACTCGTAAAAGGTAAGTGTTATACATATTTTGGGCACATCTGCCTACACCTTCAGTGTCGAAATGGCGTGATAATATTGATGTTATGAATAGTCATTACTGTGCCCCAGTTTAAATTGAATAAAATGAAACACAAGAATGTAAAAAAAAACATTTATTTTCCGCAATGATAACAAAAATGACTAATAATTACAAAAATCAAAAATACAACGTTTTCCTGAAGATAATTATAAACAAAACAAAATATTCAAATAATTCTCCCAGCACGTCATTGTTCCTTACAACTGATATAATAAATTAATAATCAAGTCAAAATCTATTAATCTGAGAATACAGGATTACGATACATACATTGAGCATATCCTATTGATAGCTTCGTTATCAGATATGGAAATCTTTTGAACGCCACAGACGGCTACTATATAGACAATAAACGACAGCTTGCACTACACACCAGCTACCAACGGCTACAGCCAAGAAGAACATCAATGTAGGCAATATTTTGAGCCTATTTTATAAGCAATATCCTATTTCAAAAATAGGGGTTGAAAACCAATTATTAACTGGTCTTCGAACATTTCCGAAACCGTCTTCAAATCTCATCTTTTTAGAGATATTTGCGATGTTAATTCGTGTGGCGGTGGTATCGTGTCGATGCGTCCGCGGTCTGGCGATGGCGTTCAAACGACTAAAGTTTCGATTATACATAGACAATAATCTACAGTTCCTACGACATTGATGAATTAAAAAGCGTAAATACGTTAAGAATACATATTATAAAAAGCGAGTTTATTTCGATATGCTCTAAAATAGAATACAATACTTATATTATAGTCAGTTAAAAAGAGTTCCAAAATATTTTTCCATCATTTAAAAATTAAGTCAGCTCATATCTTTATAGGAATACAAAGAGAGTACGATATGTTTACCTTTTATATTAAAAAGATAAGTACTTATTGGTTGACTAAGTAATCGAGTACGCTCCAACATTAGTCTGAAAGGTCAAAGGATGCCATTTTCGTAAAATGGACAATATCTATGGACCATAAGACACGTGACTGAAGTTGAAGCGTAATGTTTGTAATTCTTATCCATTTAAAATGCATAACAATAGCAAAGAGCGGCAGGAAATTAGTAATGTTATTATGTGGACTGAGCTGCGAATATCATGATGTATAAGCATCTAATACACGATATAAATAATGTAATATAGTCCCCCATTCGTAATAATTTAAATATTATATAGCGACGAATCCTCAAATAATTTAAATCGTCTAAAACGTGGTTTAACCATTTTCCTTACACGTATCGCAAGTTAACTTATCCTAACGTTACACGCTAAATTTCACCCAATTCAGCTCATAGTAATTACACAATTAGTTAAACGCCTAAATCGTTACAATTTTGTGCAGAAACTTCTTTTTTTTATACGACTTACAATAAAGAGGCAAAACGCCCTATTTATTAAACGGTTTTATTTAGCTTGCCCCGTTAGTTTGTTTGGGTCAAATTTTGTATATTTGTTATTTCACCCCCTTAGGCCGGAACTGCGTTGAGCGGGCACCCGCGCGGTTTCATACGAAAGTCCTCCATCACACGACGGATCCTGTCGCGCACGGGCTCGTTAAGTCAATAGCGCTGGGTGATACGGGTTCCACACACGTATGTAGAAAATCAAGGACAATGTCTTTCGACGCAGAGACGGTAATTGTGGAAGTGCAGTGTCACCCTGCCCTATGGGAAGCGAATTAATTATATAAAGACCGAGACAGCGGCAAGGATTGAAATTTACAAAGAATGGTTTGGAAATATGGTTCCATTTTCGAAAATAATTCGTCGTATACCCGTATAAAATCATTAAAATAATTATATTTTTTTTTTTCTTAATTTACTGAGCTTTACAATAAATTCCCCGCACAACAACCTAGATTCAATAGACGGTCTTATTAGCTGTCGTTACTTTTGCTAGTCGTCGTAAATTGCTACGTAATTATAAATTAAGTTCTTCATCGACACGACTACACAAGCAAATCGTTAAAATTGAACTAGTGACACTGCGTAAATCGGTCTCCGCGAGGGGGGGGGATCATCGCGTACCCACGGAGTCCACCGACACGTAGACACGGTTGACCGTCGCGGGCGCCCGCTTACTAATAACAGATCGATTTGATTTTTGGTACACACTCTTAATCTATAATATTATCGTCCATTATGGATATCAAACGTAAGGGTTTGATTAGTAGAATACAGCTTATTAAAACCGTTTAACTAAAAAATATTTTTATGTATTTCTTGTTTTTACTTTATTTTTATTTTTAATTGGAACTCAACCAATCAGGTTGTAGATAATCAATTATAATTTTAATGTCAAAATGTAAAAGTTTATAGAAGACATATTTTTATTATGTAGGTAAAATCAGTAGTAATAATAATAGTAG